AGGGGGGATAGTTAAAGAGGTCTTATTAATGCTATATTTGAATGGAAATGGTCAAATGAAAGTGCGAGTTAATTTAACTTCGAAAATGATCTTGGGTTATATGGAAATTAAACATTATTAAATTGGTGATTTTAAATCACATACAATGATTAATCTGAATCGATAGAGACATGCGATTTTTGAAACACTGAATTCTGATACCAACATTTATGTTTCCCTGCAAAAACTTCTTTACAGGTGGAAGGTGCCAATTCATTATCTATGTAACTGCAAAGAAATCATCAAACGTTTCATTTTTTTTTCCATTTCTATCTACCCTTAAAACAACCAAAAAAGAGAAAGTATGCTTATACTACGTTTTTCAATCCTATTTTTTTTGCTGAAAAATTTTGTCCCAAATTTTTTTTTATATTAGCATTATACCTAATACCTCGAAGCAGGAGTGGGGAGCGGATCTAGGATTTTCTCGTGGTGGGGGGGGGGGGGGGTGGGTATTGTCGATTTTTTTTAGGTCGCCCAAATTGATTTTCCGAGCTCTTCCAAATCACTTACTATAAAAAGACCCTTTTTCGACCACAATTTCTTGGGGAAAAAAACGCCGATAAAACGCGTTTACTGGCAATTTTTGGAAAGTTTTGAACGAAAAATTGCGTTTTTTCGGCGCGCGCTTGCCCCTTTAAATTAGTAAATACTGGCGCCGAAAGTTCTTGTACGCATTGCTGATGAATTGGGCGTTTGACATTACGTATCGCACTCACTTAAAAAAAGAATAGCATTTGTTTTTTTTTTCGATAACTTTCAGACAACATCCGAGATTTTTTTGGTTTTTGACAGGTTTAGGATTTCACCAAATTTTGTAAATTTTTAAAATCAATAATTCTGCGACGGACAAACTATTACTGTTTGATTTAAAACGAAAGAAATGAAACTAAATCTCTGCACAGAACTCAATGCGGATTTTCTGCACCTGCAGTTTATTGTTTTAATTGTTTTGGCGATTCTGATGGTGTCTATATTCTTGTTCTTCATCTACTGGAAAGACAGGCAACATCCGGATAGTGACCAGGGAGCAGTGGCTGGGTTCATCCAGTTCGTCAGTGATGCTTGGGTGATCCAGAATACACTTCCCAATAGCAGTATCAGCAGTCACCAGTCTTCGAATAAAACGGAGTCGAAAAATTCTGACTGGGAAGGAAAGGGCGGTGGTACGTGGTATACTTATTTGAGGCGTTTAAAAGCCTTTTCTAGAATTGTGACCACGGGGCAAAATTTTTTGGCAAAGCATTTCAAAACAATACATCGAGTCTGTTGCGGCTGAATTTCTTGATTTTCTGAATATTTGCTGGGACTAAGTTAACATCCTCCTCGATCCCACCTCCCCCCCCCCCCCGACGCCCCACCCCCACCCAAACACGTTAGGGGGGAGAATGGTAAGTTGATTCGAACTTTCCGCAAATCAGAAGAGAGCATTTTACACACGCAGCGCTTGCGCGAATTTCATTTAAGTTGAACGCTGGGGAGGGCTCTAAAAGTAAAAGAATTTCAATATTGGAATTGTATTTTAATATATATTCCAACCACTCCACCCACTATTGCAAACCAACCCACCCCCTGTTCTTTGGAAGACTAACTGTTCTGATGCTTATCCACCTGATCAAATAATTATATGGACGGACAATTAAACTAGGTACGTATCATTGGGAATGGAAAACTCTGAACAGTGTCCTTAAAACATTGTCCCTAAACTATTTGAAATCATTTTTCAGACTATGTGAGCAAGAAAAAGAAAACTCAAAAGCCAAGTGATCGCATGGACACAGCATCAGAAGTAGGATATAAAATAGCGAAAGGGGGAAAATCGAAAGCTACAAGCAAGAAAAAGAGCAAAAAAGGGGCAAAAGCAAAGAAGAATCGCGACAGTCCAGGTTCGGACCACGAATTGATGGGAGAATCTGAAGATACCTGAATAATATAACGGAGAATAAAACTTTTATACTATCAACAGTTTTCCTTTGGCAGCTCTCGTAGACATAGATCCAAGGAACTATGGCGACGGTTTGTTTTTTCGGCACCCAATTTGGACCATAATAATTAGAGCCCTTTTTGAGTCGTGAATCGGATTCCAAAAAGAATGCGAACGTTCTGAGTGTCGAGAAAATAGTTCGTAACTTTTCAGACTTAACTAGACATAATTTTATCGAAGGCTGAACTCCCAAACTCAGTTTTTTTAAAACAAAACTGAATTGCTTTTGATTTTTTTCTTCATTTTTTTCCTTCGTTTTCTATTCACTTTTGATTTTACAATTAAAAATAACAAGTCTCGGATTTTTCAGCTTACACGAGCTACCCTAATATAAACGAGCTACCCTTAATCGTCTACCCTAATTATCAATAACATTACTTTGTTTCTTTCTTTTCATACAAAGAAAAAAGACAAAACTAGCCATGAATAACGTGTTCGAATATTTGCTGGGCATAGAAAAAAAAGTTATCTCCAAAAGTTTATTTCACAGAATTGTTTCAGTCTATCGCAATTTATCTCTTTTCAGACGCACAGTATGCCTTAAAGTCACCTTCATACGTCTAAACTCAACTGTACACTCATAGATTTTTCTAAATAACGGTGTTATTAACCAGCAAATGTTTTCGAAAAAGAAATTGATGACAAAAAAACATGTTTTCCCTTTAAAGTCCCTTTAAACGAGAAAGAAAAACATTTTTACATTTTTTGGTCACTGAAACTACTTGGTTTTTTTTGCTTTCCAAATGAAAACTTTTGGTTTTTTAGAAACAAAAATATCTAGGATTTTTAAGAGGTGAAAAAAAAAAACAGATTTTTGTTTTGGATGAAACTTTTTTCTAAGCCAAATGAGTTTTTTTGAAGAAAAAACAAGCGAAAGGTGCCCTTAGAAACTTTTAGGGTTGGCTTACTAAAAATGAAGTTCGGTATGATAGGTGGAATGGTTAGTGTGGACAGTTAGGGGGTCGAATCATCGAAGAAGTTGAGAGATGAAGAAGCAATTTGCGCATTCTCGACTCTAGATGAACCAGTATCAACCCAACTCAAAACTTTAATACCGAAAAAGGACTTGAAAACCAATTTTTCTTAAAAATTTATTCTCTCAATCTCAAGAATAAAAAATTTTTGCGCAATTTTGCTGCACAGCTGACCTAGGACGATTATCAAGGGTTCTAACGTGAGAATCAGAGTTTTCTATTAAACCATTCAAAAATGGAATTTTTCTAGAAAAATCAGACTCAAAGATTATTCTGTGCATGTCAGAAAAAGGTCGTCAAATCCAAAATAAACCTTATTTGGGGGCAAGACTCCGAAACTCGTTTTGGTGTTTGAATATGAAAAGCTCCCACTTCCAGCTCTCGGAAAATTTTTAAACAGCAAATGAATTGATTTTTGTTGTCTGAAAAAAAATATTGCTCTCGGTGTGATTTTCTCTCCAGTCGGAATTTGACTTAATTTTTGACAGTTTTTTTTATTTAAGATAATCATGATTTGCGTGCGACCCGAACCGTTCAGAGTTTCAATTAAATTTACAGCTTCACCCTTTTTCCCACATTGGCCGAAATGGCAATCTTTAAATCCCCGTAACTCTACAAAAATAATCATAGGTGAAATAATTTTTTTAATTTAAGCTCAGCACAATAATAACTTTTGATTAAAATTTTTTTAAAATTCCGTCAAAAATGGCTAATTAAAAAGTTGAAATTTGTCTGAAGAAAAAAAACCGCCCGAGCTCAAATATTTGTATTTGTTATGATCTGTTGAGATCTAGGAATTAAGAGAAAAACTAAAATCAAAATTGGACTAAAAGTTGCACGAAACTATCCAGCCGAAAATGAGTTAGCGTGACGATCAGACCGTATACTAGATCTGAAATTATTCTATGAGTTAGCCACCAATTGGAACCAACTGTATGTATTTTATCTGAAAATTACCGTTGTCTAGAGCTCACCATAAAAAAGTTTTTCCCTGTAGTTTTCATAGACCTGTATTCTATTTAGCATTGAAACTGGAATAATAATATTTAATAATTGTCGTTTCTACGAAAGGCTTTGCAGTCTGTCTAAGCATAGTCCATTTCTCTTACTTCCCCGCACTCAAGACTGCGTTATTTTGTTGAGTGAGGCTCTTTTTTGTGACTAAAATTTTCACGTGGTACCACTATGGCAGCCGAAATCGGTCAGGTGTAATTATTTATCCGAGAGACACTTCGAAAAAGAAAATCATTTAATAGTGTTGAAGATTTTCACTTTATAACCTAAGAAAGACCGTAAGTATAAAAAATCTTTACATCAAAGTTTTAATCCAAACTAGCAAAAAATCTGGAAACGTTTTTTATTAGACTTTGCTCTTGAAAAATGAAATGAAAACTATTTGGAAAGTTTTTGATTCAGTTTATACAGAGTTGATTTAACTTGTCCCGACAAAACGAGCAAAGTTTGAAAGTTCAAACGCGTTTTTCTCAATTTGGATAGAAATTAGATAAAAAGATTCGATTAGATAAAAAATGACAAAACAAAAGTTAACATTTTTTTTAAATGATAAAAAATTTTGCTAAAACTAATTTCTATCAAGTTTGAATTGCTCTGTTTTTTAATGCCTCTTTTGTAAAGTGAAGCTACTGATTCAATCAAAGTATCTAATTCAATTAAAAAAGGAACACTTTATTTGGCACAAAAAAGTCCAAATTTAAATGAGCCGAAGGTTCTCATTATGGCAAGTTTTGATTTTTTTTACAATTTCGTGCGGATTTTTCATACCATCTGAAATCTGTCAACGTTTATTAGTGAAAATAAAAAGTTAAATTAAAAAAACAGTTTGCATTTATCTTTTAGGAAATTTGTAGGTATAGGGGCACAGTCTGAACATTCAGAGTGTGCTTTAATACGCGCACCCCTGTTCCCCCAACTTCTCATAAAAGGAGATTAAAAACTTGATAAGAAGAGAAGGCTCAAAGCGGACGATTGCCCACAAATGCTCAGGTCAATTACCGCTCGTGTTTTTGACATGTTTCCCGCAAACTGAACTTCATTTTGGTGGATGAAGTTTTCATTTTTTGTATCAATTACATACTTTACCAGTTTTTCTTAAAGAACGCTCTTCTACAGACTTAGATTGCATGATTTTGCTGTAAAAACAAGAACGATCTCAGAAAACAGAACGTCATAAACTCTAGAACTAATCAATTTTTTATCATCTTACTTACATGCTTTTGCCAAAAGTTAAAGAGAGCTATTTACGTCAAACTCCAAATTACAAAATTCGACAAATTGAAGTTCTCTCTATATAAACTATGGTCAATAGTTAATTGAGTTTTAACGAAGCTTTTTTCACTTGCGTTCAAATTATTTTAGCTTGTTACAACTAATATTTAATCTCAAAAAAACTACATGCTAAACAATTTAATAGTTCTAAGTTGTTCTCAACTCTGCAGGCTTCAAGAGCTCTGATGTCATATTTTTAGTACAAATTGCTGCTTTTTGGAATCTTTCTTTTTACTGGTTAATATATAGTGTTTTTTTTTTCAAAAAAAAAACTCGGGACAAGTGTGGGAGTTAGATCCTATGATTTTCGCGTTGTCAACAAGCGTAGGCGGACAAATTGATTTATTTCTTGACTCTATACTCTTTCTTTTTCCCTATTTGTTTTCAGGGCCCACTTATCAATTTTTTGTCAAAACTTTTGGACCCAATTATAATTTTTTTTGATTTTTTGATTCATAAATCAGTTACCATCTCGGTTTGAACAATGGCCTGTTCCTTGCAGTTCTTGTTCATTCTGTGCATGCAGCTGTTGATCTTTATCCTGATTGGTGTGGGCCATGGACCTTATGTGTGGGATTCGGAGCAGGTAGTGGTACTGAGTGCATCTAAAAATGCCACTCCTTACGGGGGCATTTGGTTCTCATGCGACATGGCTGAGGAGGGCTGCACATACCTAGGTTAGTTTTATTTTCATGAATTTTACCAGCAGAGGACTAGCAACGCTTTATAATAACAATTGTAATATTTTTTTTCACATTTGTTTCTGTGGTACCGCAACTGCTACTGCCATTGCAGTAACTATGCAGTCCTCATATATATTGGCCTTGATAGTGCTACTTATATCTGCCACTGCTATCGCAGCAATCAGATAGTCATCACATATTGACCTTGATAGTGCTATACATATTGTTATCTATAAATTATATAATTCTATTATAAAAACCAAGGTCGAAGAATACGTGACCTTTTTAGAAATCCAAGAGAGTCAATCTCTCAGGCCTGTGGCTATGAACACAGTCAGTAACAACAATAACAATAGAAAAGAAACGGTTTCATTATGGTTAATTAAACTCTAACAAAACCAATTCAGTTTTCACTATAAAACCTCAGAGGTATTGTTAGTTACCACATGGCGCAGCCAGCAGGATCCGGTTTCACTGCTCAGGATAATAGGACTGATCTAGGAATCCCAGTATTTTGGGCATCCGCAAATTCAGACCCACCTTGGAGTTTTGAAACGTGGCTTGACCAGTTCCTATTAGCTGTTACAGTTAAAGAGAATGTGGATCCAGAAATAATGTTACAAGAACCCAAACCGGTATTAGAAGAACCTTTACCAGCTCCTGAAACACCAGCACAAAACGAGGATGAGATTGCGACAACAGAAAGAGAAGCTCGGAACAGATTGGCTCGAGATAGAGTGGTTCAAGAAAATGAAGAACGGACACTAAGAGGACCTAGAGTGGGACACAATGTATTCTATCACGAAGTGGGCAAACGGCTAACATCGAGATTATTCCTCGCTTTAGGAGCAGAAGGGAAGAAAAAATTTATACAAAAGAACCCTCACACAGAAATATCCAAACTAGGGTTTCGCGATATAATTCGATTAGCAAAACTCTCATTTGAGAAAACGAAATGTATTACCTATGAGAGATACAAATTGTTCACACGATCCCACGAATCAAATGAAACGTTGGAATCTTTTCATGCCGCACTGACTGCACAAGCAGCAAAGGCTGAATTGGGAGCGTTGGAAGAAGAATTAGTACGAGATTTATTCATCTCAAGAATGAAAAATGCTGTCCTCCAAGACACATTGACGTTCGAAACATTCTCTCCAGAAGAAGTGTTAAAACGTGCACTAAAGTTTGAATATAGCAAACAAACAACTCAAGCATTCCAAAAATCTTCAAACACAAACAGCTCAGGACTGTTTACAACTCCACAGATGAAGATTAAACAAGAACCAGTTATGGCAATCGGAAACAAAGGGTATAACCCTAGACGTCAAAATCAAAACAGAAGAAAACAGTACGAAAATAAACCTCCAAAAGGCAAAGGAGATCAAAAACAATGTACGAGATGCGGCAGAGCATTTGTAGAGAATCATTTAAAAAACTGTCCGGCAATGGGCAAAACATGTAAAAATTGTAACAAACCTAATCACTTCGCTAAAATGTGTAGGTCTCAACAAATTAACGAAATTGCAAATGAAGATTCGAGCTCGGGGGACGAGTGCAATCTTATACAAACATTCGATTCATGTGAGGATTTTGAAATCATGTCAGTAGAGGAAGAGTGCACTTCCATCATGGACATAGAAAAGTACATCACAAAAAGGATTTCGGAAAATGTGTACAATAACGAAAGAGGTCAGAATAGAGCATTGACGGAGAAGTCGGGAAAAATTGAAAAGATCGAAATTCGCAGAAATCCCAAATCGCATCAAATTAAAGCACTTAAAGCTTTGGTTAAGATTGATAGTCATATTTTGAATATGACTATAGATACTGGCAGTCCAGTATCACTTCTGAATTGGGCAACAACGAAACAGATTCTGGAAGGACCTTCGAATTCAAAATTTATCCCGGCAGAAAAGTTGAACCTGTCCGCGCAGTTTGTGGATTATAACAAACGACCTATTCTAATATTAGGAGCGTTAAAAGCCAATCTACGTTCGGCAGGTTGGGAAGTGTTGGGAGCGATGTTACTGGTCACAGAGAGACGTATGCGGTGCATATTAGGTTTAGATCTTCAGAGTAAACTAGGAATTCAAACCACGCAAAAATCGGCTCCAACACGAAGGTCCAGGTTTGATGTGTTACTGTGCGAACAGTCAGATAGTTGGAAGATTTACTTTTATAAGAAGTTCAAAGATCTATTCGATAGACAAGGGGAATCAAAAAATCACATGGTGAGTACAAAATTTAAATATCCTCTGTGCCCTATTCAAGAGAGAGGTAGGAGAATCCCTATACACATTCAGGATAAAGTTCAAACAGAACTAGACAAGCTGCTCACAGAGGGACACATTGCGAAATTAGACAAATGCACAAGCGATTGTTTTATTGCCCCAATTGTTATCACAGTAAAAAAAGACGATTCTATTAAATTAGCCTTGGACGCCAAACCCATTAATAGACAGTTGTACAAAAATAAATACCAGATGCCTAATGTGGACGAACTGATTGATGGGGTTAGCCAGATCATCACATCAACATCAGAAGGCTCTCTCTTTTTCACCGTGTTAGACCTGAAATATGCTTATAGCCAGATAAAACTAACTGCTGAAACAGCAAAACAATGCAATTTCAATATAATAGGGGGTAATGCAACGGGTACGTACAGATTTCTGACAGGTTTCTACGGGTTGGCAGATATGCCAGCCGAATTCCAGAAAGCGATGGATAGAACACTAAACCACGCAAAGAATACCTTTTGTTTCTTAGATGATATTCTAATTGTTTCAAAGGGGGAAGCTAAAGAGCACGAGAAATTAGTACACAATGTGTTGCAAAAGTTGGACGACGAAAATCTCGCATTAAAAATTTCGAAATGCGAATTCCTGCAGCCCGCAGTGAACTGGTTAGGTCATAATTTGTCAATACAGGGGATAATTCCAAAAGTTACTAAAACGGAGGCAATTGCAAACCTTCAACCCCCCAAATCATTAAAGCAACTCAGATCGTTCATGGGTAGCATCAACCACTTAGCGAAATTTATCCCAAATGCGGCTAGTTTAACTGAAAAACTTAGACCACTACTGAAAGAAGAAAATGAAAAAAAGAAAATGAAAAATGTCCGGTTACCAGTTAAAAAATTTGAGTGGAACGATCAACACTCAGTAATTTTTGAGGACATAAAAAGGGCAGTTGCTAATATAGCCTTGTTAAACTATTACGATCCAGCAAAGCAATCTAGAGTAAAATGCGATGCAAGTCATAGTGGGCTCGGAGCTACTTTAGAACAATGGTCTCATCAGAGCGATTGGATACCGATCGCATTCGCTTCCCGGTATTTAAATGCTCAAGAAAAAAAATATTCTACCAATGAACTTGAGCTATTAGCAGTAGTTTGGGCGGTAGATCGTTTCAAACATTATCTACTAGGGAGAGAATTTGTCATAGCAACTGACCACAAGGCATTGACATCAGCTTTGGGAGAACATAGATCAAATAAAACGTATCAATCTCGTTTGACTAGGTGGGTTGACCGATTATTGCCCTTCCAATTTAAAATTACTCATATTCCCGGAAGGGATATGGGTATCGTTGACTACTTGTCAAGAGAACCTAATGGAGAACCGTGGCCAGAATCGGAACTGGATGAGAGATTCGTAGTAACGTCTATAGAAAGTTTTCATAAAGCACTCGACTGTTTGAACAGTCGGTCTAGTGAAACAAACCAAAGTAGCACTATGAACATTCCAGAACATTCTAGAACATCAAGAGAAATTAACTACTGTAAAGACAGCTCATCATGCGGTTGCTATGACAACCAGTTTGTTCAAAACCGGACAAAGCTCGACCGGAACGAGAACGGTCAAAACTCAAGATTTCAAACAGTTGAGAAGCACAAAAACACATTGGACAGAATAGCTCGTGAGAAACAGTTGGTCGATATTTCAAAACTCAAAAATAAATTAAACTCCAAACAATTAGAACCTAAGGAAACGGCGTCATCGAAAAAAAATGGAAAGAAGTGAATCAGGAAAATCAAAGAAGATGAAAAATAAACAGAACGGAAATCAGAGGGAGGACGATCAACTAACGGAACAAGTAACAGAAACCACCTTCTCTCGAACACGGATGGTAAAGAGAGGTGCTGCATGCAGTCGACAGGAGTCAGACGATTCTGACTCAGATATACCGCAAGTGGAGTGGAGACCAGTGAGAAAGACGATAAAGCCTAGAGGACTTAAAGAAATACAATCTGGAAAGGCGCCTGGAACTAGTGGAACAACCCTGATGTCATTTTGGGACCTCATGGGGGCAGAAAGACCAGACAATCCAAAAAGTCTACTTGAATTAGAGGCACAGACAAGTCTACTTGAATTAGAGGCACAGACAACATTGGCAGATTGTAATCGAGGTGACCAGTCATCACAATTGAATACTCAAAGTGAAATTCCCCAAATTATTGAAGTGGACTTAACAGCCGAGAGCCCTTCGGAAAGCCCAGAAGTCAGCTTAATTAAAAAGGAAAAGACATGTCACGCTTCCAGGAAAGGCACACCAGATCAAAATAACGTGCGTACTGACATCAGTCTGGACAACCTAAACAAACTATTTGATAGAAGCCTATTAGCGGAGCTGTTATCAGAAGACGCCTGGATGGACAGGCTGAGGCGGGTCATTGAGAGGAACGATCGACACAGCTTCGAGCTGATGGGTCCATATACCAACCCTCTCTGGCACCAACTCTCAGTTGTGGACGACTGCATCCTGGTTGACAACAGATTAGCTGTCCCGGAACAATTGCGTTTGGCAGTCCTAAAGAGAATTCACCGCGGTCACCCAGGCCAGGAAGCGATGCTAGATGTGTCAAGGTACCTGTGGTGGCCGCACATGCACAAGGATATCGTCAACCTTGCAGAGGAATGCAGAAGTTGCACCCGCTATGGTAAGAATGCAAAATACATCATACCAAAAAATGCTACGAAACCTCTGCCGCTGCTCACGCAGCCAGGTCAAGAAATTCAATTAGACTATGCTGGCCCGCTTGAAGATTTCAAAGGAAAAAAGATTTATCTGTTGGTAGCAATAGATAGGTATTCTAAATTTCCTTCAGTAAAAATCACTAAATCAACAGGGGGAAAGTCGTCAATAAAATTTCTTCGCTCATATATTGATATACATGGAATACCTGAATCAATTAGAACGGATCAATTTTCCGGGTTCAAGGGCAAAGCAATGAAAAAATTTTGCTCCGACAATAACATTGAACAAAAATTCTGTCCAGTTGGCGACCATCGCGGATGCGGCTTAGTAGAACGCACTATACAAACCATCAAGAGAAGGTTGGGAGTAATGTTACTCGATGAAAATGTAACGTCGATAAAATTGTGCTTGAGTACGATAATTCGCGACCTTCGTTGGATAAAACAGAAGACAATCCAAATGTCGCCATTTGAAGCACATTTTGGGCGATTGCCAAAAACAGAATTTAAAATTCTCAGTGATAGGTTCTTACAAAACTCTGATCGTTTAGATAAGGAACATCTGGAGCGCTCCGCCTTGACGGCTTCGCAACTCAAAAAGAGAATCGACCAATCTCGTGACAACTTAAAGATTGTCCGGAAGGGACAAAACAGCCGAGATGTGAGTCCATTATTCAAAGAGCAAGTCGTCTCGGCAAAGGACCGAGAAAGAGCGCGGGCCCTAAAAGAGCTTCTGGAGGCCAATGCAAGATGGAACCAGACTCGACGTGATACTTCGGCAAACGACCTAAAGCGTACTGTGGATGAGACGAGTACCATTAATCCCGAGCTACGCAAAGAAATGCTATACTCGTGGGAGCGGGGGTTCGTTGAAGATAAACCGGAGGCAATTTCTCAGCAACGTCAGTCGTCACCAATCTTGATACGAAAAGACGAGGGGAGGAAGAGCGGTAAGGCCCTCACGAAACCTCTAAAGGGAAGGGTCGTGGCCGAAACGCCTTCCACGATTAAGACGGCCGCAGGGTCCATTTACCGGAAAAGCGATATTGCAAAGGTTAAGGTTGCGGTGCATGATAAGGAGAAAAACAACAATAGACGATCCCCATCGGGAGAAGAGCCTAAGAAAAAACAACAGAGGCAATCGAAGCGACAATCAGACGAACAAGATGAGGCTGAATTGAGTCAGTCGGATGAAGACTTATTGCTAGAGCAGCCAGGTGCAGCGAAGGAAAAATTTCAGGATAGCCCAACAGTGATCACTTCAAAAGACACCCTACAAGGCGGTGGACTGAATTTGGCGGTACGAAGAGCGAAGCCAAACTTGGCTGGACCATTCTCGAAATCAAATAAGGCCAAAGTGAGCCCAATCTCGACGAAAGACGCACAAAAAGTCATATTACAGAATAAAAGTGCTGCGTCAGCAGCAGAAGAAATCGAACCGAAGGCGCCAGACCACGCATGTTCGTCGAACACTATCAAGAACAAGAAAGAAATTACACGCACTACATCTCCTGAAACAATCCTCGACACTTTCAATAGTAAGGATTTATCGGCGAATGACTGGAATCGATTAGCGGATCAAGTACTTGAACGAGGAGTTCAGCACGCGGCGGCAGAGATACTGCATTCGAGAGAGGAAGCGAGAGACGACGAGGAATTGTTGAATCCTCCGGGATTTTCTGACGAATCCGAACTTGAGGAAACATCAGTACGGAAAAGCGGGAGATCGAAAAAGGGACCATCCAGATATGGAAACCCGATTAAGCATTCAGTGAAATCAATCTCGTTCCAGAATAACTTATTGGACTTGAATCAAGCCGCGCTCGAAGCATATAGAATCAAGCTTGCAAATTTTAAACCTGGTGCTTCTAATTCGGTGGAGACAAAATTTGGTCTGCTGGAAAAACATCTATTTAGAAGAAAGTTTGGCAGCGAAGCTCTAGACATAACCCGTTCATGGAACGCCGAGTGGAGAATCCCGTTACAGTTGGAAGAGGAACATGAAGAGAGAGATGGAAAATGAGTTATCTCATACACTAAGCCAAAACTTCTTAAACTGAGTTCTAAAACTCCTATTCATTATTATTTAAAATTTTAATAACATAGTATAAAAATTTTCTTGATCGAGGGGGTATGTGGTACCGCAACTGCTACTGCCATTGCAGTAACTATGCAGTCCTCATATATATTGGCCTTGATAGTGCTACTTATATCTGCCACTGCTATCGCAGCAATCAGATAGTCATCACATATTGACCTTGATAGTGCTATACATATTGTTATCTATAAATTATATAATTCTATTATAAAAACCAAGGTCGAAGAATACGTGACCTTTTTAGAAATCCAAGAGAGTCAATCTCTCAGGCCTGTGGCTATGAACACAGTCAGTAACAACAATAACAATAGAAAAGAAACGGTTTCATTATGGTTAATTAAACTCTAACAAAACCAATTCAGTTTTCACTATAAAACCTCAGAGGTATTGTTAGTTACCACAGTTTCCAAAGAGCAAAGATCAATGAGGAATCCAAGACGTTTTTGAAGATGCGGGGAGGATTTTTAATTTTTTTTGACTGTTTGCTAATTTTTGGTTTTCCGAGCTCTCCCGAAACCGTGAAGACTTTATTTTACGAAAAAATTCTACGGAACTTTTAAATTACCGCTTTTATTTGACGCTTTTACAAAAATTTAGAGTTTATCGGCTACAAATGTATATTGTAATTTAATATCCGGGAATTTAAAGTCAGAAAATATTATAGGGTTAATAGCCCTGAAAACCTGAAAATCAAAGCATGTTTTCCAGAAATTCGTAATTTTTAAACATATTTTCAAGTTTTTACTTTTCTGATGATTGTAGAAAAGAAAAACGTGCCCGAAAACTCAGATTGGATCAAAATCAACTGTGCCAGGGCATTCTTGCTGTTCGCTAACCTTGTCGGTCTGATTGAGATTCTGCTGTGTGCAGTGTCGGCCTGCGCTTGCGGAAAGGATCCTCCTAACATGCTTTGCGTTCCTCACGTGATCATTTTGGTCGTAGAAGGTGAACAAATTTGATGAATTTTAACAAGATTTCATTTGCATGTATGTTCGTTGATTTTTTAGGGATCAAACTACCTCACTGAAGCGATTTAGAGGCGGTTATAAACATGGTTTGCAGCTGGAATTTTCGGGCAATCAGAAGCGAGTATTAATTAAGTTCAACCCCAGAATAAAAGTGAGGAAGCGGATCTGTACTTAATCAATCTAGGGGGTGTTCTGTTCGGAGGCGTTCTGTAATGCTAAAGTTCAGCAGTATGGGAAAAGAAGATGCATTTAGCGAAGTTGAAGTTTAAAATTTCCTAAGCTTAACTCGGCTAACTCAAAGCAATTGGCATGCTCCGACAATCTGAAATTGGGAATTCGTTTAATCGAATGTGAGATATTTGTAGATTATTTAGACAGAGAATTATTGTCTACATTGGAATTGATGGTGTTAAGCAATCAAAACATGTTGGAAAACCAAACGGTTCGATAAAATACTGGAAAAATACAAAGCAAAGAATCGCAAATTTTTTTCTAAGTCCGCATTCAACCAAAAAATCATTCCTGTAAACCTTACTTAATTTTGAGTTAATTCTCGAATAGTTTACACCTACTAAACATCATAAAATTTAGTTCTGTATGCTCAGTTATCTAGGAATGCAAATCTTGGAGGATTTCTTGCAAGAAATCTTGCTTGAAACTACATTATTCCCGACTTTTTCAAACAAACTTTTCCAACATTTGCGTTGATTTATAGCAATTTGCGTTGATCTTATAGCAAAGCAATACTTGCATTCCATAGGCAAGAAATAAGCAAAATGTTGCAATATTCTTGCAAGACTTGCATTTTGAAAAGAGATCAATGCAAAAAAAACTATAATTGCAAAATTAAAGAAGGTTTCCGTTGAATAGTTTTTAAGACTGTATGATACGCGACCCATTCGCGAGCTTCAATTATATTTGCCGCTGCACGCTTCATATCTTTGTATTGAACATGAATGAAAAGAATTCATTACTGACTAATCATATTCCGATTCTAGGACATCAAGCCGACGGGACTTCAAGCCGAAGGAAAATCAGGCCGAAATTTAACCTTAGGCATCTCAAAAATCATGAAACAGAGAAATTCTTCGGACCAGTCTTCAAATAACCAGAATTCAAGACTTTTGGAAAAATGTTTGAATTGAAGCCTCTAGCTTTAAGATTCGGATCGAAGTCCCGTCGGCTTGATTTCCGGCACCCTCAGATTCCATAACTTACTTTTAAATCATAATTGTGGTGCTAAGGATAATTGTGGTCCCTGACTGTGGTGCTAAGGATTTTAGCAGACCGGTTCTTTAGCGGGCTAATCTTTTAGCTGACTCAGAACAATTAGCAGGTCAGAAAGCTAATTTCAAACGCGGCGTTGACAATTAGCGACCGATTTATCCGATGCGTTTTCATTCGGAATGAAGGTTTTTGTGCGCGTAAATCTTTGTCTTGCCGCTAATTTAGACTGTGGTACTTTTGAAGTTGATAGTTTTGTTGACAAATCGTGAGATAATCGTCTTAATTGGGTAAACTTTGACCCAAGACTGATCTGTTTTTTTATTCTATCAATCAATTATGCAACAGTTTATTACGTTGGTCTGCTAAAAGACTCATTTTTCACTTTTTATGCCAAAAGATTGGTCAGCTAAACGATCGGTCTCCCCTGACTGTTAACAATCTCAGATAAAATTATTCTCCAACTAATCGCGATTTGCCCAGCCAGTGTTTTTTATTCTGACTTTCGAAGAAAACGGAAAATTTTTGCTTGGTGTTGTTTTTTTTATTCATTCAATTTTTTGGCAATCAAAATCAAGCTCAAGAAGATATTTTACATCCCATAAGTTTTTGCAAAGTTATGGGAGTTCGAAAATTTCCAACTTGGCCATGGTCTGGACTAATTTAACACAATCCTTAATCCTGAAAGCGTAAAGCGAATTTTTTGGTGGCGAACTATCCCGCACAACAAAATAACCCTTGAATTCAGGGTTATGCCCTGATATGTGAGCAGTCTTGTTAGGATCTATTGAGACCAAGAAAATAAAAGTAAGATTAGAATCCGGTTTAAACCAAGGAGCTACACAACACCATCCGGCCAAAAAATGACGGACACAATCAACAGACTATTTATCTAATCAAAACTACTATATGCGTTAGCCCGACCATCGGATCAACTCAATAAAACTTTTTACCGCGAAGATTATTTATATCCAGCAAAATTCTTGAAAGATTTGCACATCTAAGCATTCCTTAGCATTCATTCATTGCCAAATCACTAGTTCATAGTATTGTCATTACGAGACCAAACTGTGCACTGGATAGGGGAGCAATTTTGTGTCTGTATTTTATTGGATTTCAGAGACAAACCTTTAAACATGATCCAAAACGTAAGTGAATTCCAATTACAAAATTTCCGTGGATTGCGCGTACAAATATCTGTAACGTAAGTTTTGTCGGCACATTTGTTTTGTTGCGGATTCCGCAACGAGCAAATATAGGCAGTTGTTCCGGCCGTTGTTCCGCAAATGTAAGTGATTTCCGCAAATTTATGCGGATTCCGCTTAAAATTGGCGGATTCTACTTACAGTTGCGGATTCCACGACAGTTTAAATTTACTAAACACATATTATTATTTGCTTATGGATTCCACAAACTGTCCGGGATTCCGCAAACTTTGTTGCGGATTCCACAATTTTAGTTGCGGGTTCCGCAAAGGTGCCTGTTTTTGGAGCGATTTTGAGCAATACAGTGTTTTAGCTATTTGTCCATGGAATCCGAAACAGCTAATAAAATTTTTAAAAAATAGCAATGTTGCGGATTCCACGACAAATCTGATTTTGGCCTGTTGTGGAATCCGCTGACAATTCACAAAATGCGCAGTTTTGCCTTGTAATGGTAAAAAAATTAAATAACTCAATTTTTGTAAAATAAGCTTCGCATAGCTAAATTTAGCGCAAACAATAACCTCATATCATCCTATATAACAACCCGCCCCCATTTCTTGGCCGGAATAACTAGTCGGAGTATTCTGTGCAACCTAAACAGTATTTGTCTATTTTTGTTTATCTTGTCTATCTTTGTTTTTAAAGGTAATAAAAACATGTCTGCTTTTGTCTATCTTTCTTATTTTTTTAAATCCAGAAGTGTTTGCCGTGGGGGCAGCTGTCATAATGACTGAGACATTCGAAGTGCTGAAGGGGAGCCGAGATAACATGAACGTCGGCTGGTCCCTCGTCTGTCTCTGGACCGGCTGCTTCGCCCTCCTTCCCACCATCTTCACACCTGCTGGAAAGTGCACCAACAAAGCCATGTCCAGACGCACTTCCTACCCAAATGAATCCAGGACCCAACTCATGTGATTGAACTGGGAGGAATTATTTCTTAAAATTATACAGACAAATTTGGCATTCAATGGATTTCACACTTACTAACTTAGACACGACATCTTTCGATTACATGACTCGTGTTATAACTGGGCGATGAATACACGTGAATTTTGTTCCACACTAACATAATGCATAAAGTGTTTGACTGAATTTAATTTAAGAAGAAACTGCTACATTCCGGAGTATTATCGTGAAAAAGTTTGAATATTTTGCTCAGTGACATAATAAGTGATTAAATGTTCGGGTCTTATGCACTAAACGGCCCAAAATCATTTTTTCTACATCGTAAGCTGAAAATTACGCGATCAAATTTGATTGGGTAATTTTAGCCAATCAATTTCAAGTTACACGGTCAGGCATTCCGATCAACTTTTCTAACAGATAAAAATATTAGCCGAAATTGCCGAAAAGGTGGAATTAATTTTGAGTCACTTGTGAAACCTTGCCCAGACAAGCAGAATTCAGTAAAATGGCTTGACAAAACAAAATTTAATTTTCTTTATCATTTCGGCTAATAATTTTATCTGCTTGAAATTTCAATTGAAATGGCAGAAAATGTCGATGGAACTTCATTGGCTAATTCGCCAATCAAATTCATCCAAAATAATTTCAGCTAGAGAGATGTAAAAATAAAGAATTTGGGCCGTTTAGTGAATAAGACCCAAATGTTCATTGGAGCTTCTTAGCAATCTCTCCCCATTCAAGAAAGGGAGGGCGTTGTTAAGTAGGTTAAGTAGCTAAATTTTCGGCCAATCAGAATGAAGCAAAATTATAATTCTCATTTTTTCAATAGAAAGTCTTAGTGTTAATCTGTGCTCACTTTTTGGATCACGAAAAACCCGATAAATATGGAAAAGTAAAAAAAAACGTATAAATAAGGTTGAAAGAAAAACTGATTGGAAAACTGACTCACCTTAAAATCTGGCAACTGGAAAAGTGGACCAATGAGGGAGCTGGATAATGCAATAACAATGACCATCTCTTTCAATTGTCCTTTTTCATTTTAACAGGTTTGCAGGTGACTCAAGTTTACAATCAAACTTCTTTCATCATGCAGCAAATATTTATATTGTTTTTTCATATTTCTCAGATTTTTCGCTTTAAAAATTTTATTTCTTACTTTTTATGAGAAAAAGAAAGCTCATATCAAGGTGAAGCCCTGAATATTCCTAGGGCCCATCAAAATTGAAGACTTGTCAAGCACTTTTTGAAAACATAAATTAGAAAAAAATGGTAAAACTTTTTATAAAAGTTCAAAAACCTTGAAAATTTTTCATTTTTTTTAAATTTCCCTCACAAGCCATGCCAATTACAAATTGATGTTTTAGTGTCTAGTAAGGTTTAAATTGTGATGATCTGAAAGATCTTAGCATGAAAAATAAAAGGAATAAATATAAGAACTTACCCAATCTTTTGGAGCGTATTAGATTGGCTCAGAGCTGATTTTATATTTATTGCTGTCTCTTTATTATCAGTTGAGTTTAACCAACTGTCACAATGTGTCAACCATGATAGATTTTCATGATATTAATCAATCCTATAAACGAATGCGATGCTATATATGTTGAATGTTATTTTGGTAAAAAGTTACCAAAATTGGGAACCCGTGAACAAAAACGACATTTCTACCTAATGACATAGCTTGTCTTCTGTATACATTTCCCACTGAAATTAGCTATAAATAACAAGTAAATTTCACGTATTATATCATTAACAACAATCTCAATAAATTCTTCATAACAAACATTTTTGCCTTGCACCGTTCCACAACAGTGGTGTGCAGACTGGAAACTTGAAATGAATAACCCTAATAATTCAGTTAATCTTTCAAAACCTGAAAAGGCAATGACTTTGCTGATTATTTCCTTGGTAGAGCATGCTCAGAGAAAAAAAAACGACAATTCCGAAAAATCGTTAGCTTTGGGGTCAGACCGTCAATGGACGCACTTCTTCCTCAGCCAATAAGGAGTGCAAGCAATAATGAAATTGCGCAGTCTTGTATTGCGGGATTATTTTCGATGGTATCTACGTTTTGATACAAAACTATTGCAGATCCAGTGAACATGTGGTCGGTGCTGAACGAGCCAAGTTCCTATCGACAGTCCAGAATCAACAAGATTCTGACGACAATTTTTTCTCAAGACTTCGTGAAGCTGCTCGGTATGCTGATGCGGAAGACGAGATGATACGAAAGAAATTTATCTCGGGGTTAAGATCAGCAGACTCTATAATCAAATTACCTGGAAAAGTAGTGTTAAAACACATAAGTCTTACTGATATGCAGACAGTTTTACAGTTTAGCGATGACGCACAACATTTTTCTGGGACCTCTAAGGTTAATATCAAATAAAAAGTTGCAAACAATTTCAAGTCAACCTTCAGAAAACCAGGAAATGTTAACAAATCTTACAACGGTAATAAGTCGGAATGTCCAATGTGCTGAAGAGAACCACACGGGGAGATGTCTTGTACTTCAACAAGGAAGAAACTTAACTTTTGTGGTAAGAAAGGACACTTTGCAAAAAATTGTCGAAGTAAGTTTAGCAACAACAACACAGGTAACAGTAGATTTGATAAGAGAGTTTAAGCATCAGATTGATGGGGGTCAGTTTTGATAGCGGAAACTAGAAAGCTCTGAAAACGGCACTAAAATAGGAATGCTTTTTGCATCAAGTCTCATCGGCATGGCCGCTGCATGGGAAAGTGTCGTCATTGATGGCATTGAGGTGAAGATGCAAGTGGAAACCGGTGACGATGCAACAGTGATATCGTCAATCATCTGGGAGAAACTCGTAAGACCTACTCTAGATGGAACTACTCGGACTCTATAAGCGTATGATGGACACAAACTCTATTTCAAAGAAACAGCATTCTGTGACCTGACATGGAATGGCCAAATCTACTCAAAGCTACCCCTGGCAAATGTGCGATCAAACAAGGATTTCGATCTACTTGGACTCGACCTCTTACCAATCCCATGCTCGATAAATGGGCTTTCAGCGATATTGCCGACAGTCAAAGGATACGAGGCCAAGGTGAATTCAAGCCTGGAGCCCAATCGTTCTTCTGCAAAGCAAGCAAAACTTCTTTGTCGATGCAAGAGGCAGTAAAAGCAAAGCTGCAGGACATGGTCATGCAGGGAATTTTCGAGAGAGTGCAGCCCGGAGGAGTTACCAATGCATCACCTGTCGTGTGGCAAAGAAAGAAAAACGGTGACCTCAGACTTTGAGCAGACTACAACGTTCACCTCAATGGCAAAGTAATGGACGAAGACTACCCATTATCAAACATGGAGACAATTTTCCACAACTTGTACGGAGCCAAGTTCTTCGGAAAAATTGATGTCCCAGACACTTACCATCAAATCGCACTTGATGATGAGGCAAAATAAGTGTGCACAATCAACACCCAACAGGGGCTGTTCAAGATGTGTCAATTTTCTCAAGGATTGAAAACTCTTCCTGGATCTTTTAAACTGCATCGAGAACACACTCAAAGAAATCAAAGCCCTGATTATCTTCCAAGATGACCTGCTTGGTTATGGAACATAACGCGAGCAATACAAAAGGAGTATGAGGGCAATTATTAGACGACTTAGAGAAAAATTTTCACTATCAAAAACACCAAGTCAAACTCAAAACCACTCACAATTGTTTCGTTTTTACGCTATTCAGTTTTAGCTGATGGAATCAAGCCTGATGATAGTTTTTTTGAAAAGATTCGGAGGCACCAAGATACCTGCAAACAACAAATCATTTTGTGGACTGGCAAACTTCTACAGTTGAGTGATTTGGAATTTTGCCACCAGTCCTACTCAAAGACTTACCGAGTCGAAATTTCGAGTGGACAGACCCACACAACAAGTACTTTCAGAGTATTAAACAAGAACTCAGCTCAAAAACAAATGTGCAACAATACTTCCTGCACAAAGAAGTGGCTGTGACCACCAATGTTTCAGAGCAGGAACTCGGCAGGGTTCTCTCACAAGATGAACATCCAGTGATCTTCCTTTAAAGGAAGCTATCATCAGCTAAGCGCAACTACTCAAACATAGAACAAGTAAGCTTTGCAATTATGTTTGTGGTCACACGACTGAAACAGTTTTTACTGGGGCGCAAGTTCACTCTAGAAACTGATCAGAAACCCTTGCAGTACCTCTTTGCACCGGACTGAGAGATGCCAAAGAGTAACCAGATGGCTAGAGTAACCAGATGGGGTGTTTCGCTGATGGGATTTGACTACAAATTAAAACAAGCGTCAGGGAAGCAGATCCCACATGCGGACGGTCAAGGCAGATTGCATTTCGACGACGAGACATCAAACGAGGAGGGAATCTACTTATTTCAGTATGACATCTTCTTCGCAGACCAGCAGACAATCAAGCTGAACAATATCAAAAGAGACCTCCAATCGAATCAATCATTTCAATATGTTCTCAAACGGATACAAAGCGGTAATGGGCGACAGTGCTCAAAAGCTGAACTAAACTTCAAAAAGATAGCTGAAACACTGACTGCACGAGAGGGAACCATCTACAGGGGCGTTGTACCTTTCCTAGTGCCGAAATCAAAATGATGATTATGGAAGATGTCCACAAGACGCATCCAGGAAGACAAGCAAGAGAAACGGTCTTGAGAACTATTGCTTGGTGGCCTGGCATGTCACAAGACGTAGAACAACTTGTCTCAAGATGCGAGAACTGTCAAAAAACAGACCATTGCTCGGAAAAACAGTCTCGAAGTGGCCAGAAGCAGACGTATGGGAACAAATCCACATGGCCTGGGCCACCATGAAAGAGCAAGGAAACATATTAGTTATTGTTGATGCAGGAAGTGGCTGGATCGAAGCATTCCCGACGATTTACAGGACTACTCTAACTGTCAATAAATGATTGTCGGCAGTCTTTGCAAGATCTAGAGTACCATAAACTCTAGTCTCTGACAACGGACTCGAAATTATAAGCGATAACTTCAAAACAAGGTGCAAGTCTCAGGGATATCACAAAGTACAATCACTGATCTACCACGCAGGAGCAAATGGACTAGCAAGAAGAGCAGTTCAAGCAATTAAACTTGCCATGAAGGCATGGGGAAAAAGTTATCAACCAATTTCCTAGCGTTTTTACAACAAGAACTAATGACATATAGAAACAGTTCGAAAGCGAAAATCAAAA